CGTTATTCACAAAATATGCATAAAATGAAAACTCGTTCAATTTCAATCAAACTTTTTTGACAAGTTGTATATGAAAAGGGTTTCATTTGGTCCAAGTCTCAGCATCGTAGCATAAATAGGAAGGGTGAAAAAAAATATTGAATCGTGTCAAAAATTTTCAAAAATGGTCAAAAAAGATTATCAAACAAAAATATCAACTGAAATCATGTCTATGACTCAGCTATCACAATAGCATATATTAAAAACAAATTATAATTAGTTTTATTAACCCTTAAACTGCGCATGGCGTATATATACGCCCTGAGTAACATGTCCCATGGTGCGCATGGCGTATATATACGCCATAGGGTGCCAGGCCTGATTCAAATGGACCGCGGCTACACGGGGTTCACAGTAGCTTCCTCAGGGCTCTTGTAAACAGATGCCATTTTTAAAAAAAATCGTGGGCAATATTCTCAGGTGTGAGAGGCACAGTACTGTTGGAGCAACCAAGGCCGGCGCACGCAGCATGAGCGAACAGCATTGATGTTCAGCTTGTGACCACAGCATTGCCGAAAAATGTCAAAATAAATATATAATTGTTATTATTTAGCGATGACAATATTACAGATGACCAATGACCGATATAAATAACCAGGGTTGTGATAATAGCAGGATTGTTGTAATAATTAGCGCTGTGGGAGGAGTGATGCTGAGAGATGGAGGGAGACAGCATCGTTTACCGACTGTGTGGCTAGCTGTTATTGTTTGCATTCACCATACCAGGTCAGTGGTTCTCTATGGTGAACACAAATGTAGATACTTATATATAATGTGTGTATTAGTGTAATAACAGCAAAAGGATTATGCTGGGAGGAGCCAAATGGGTGACGGAGGTGACGTCGTCTGCACGATTTGTCTAGCTGTTTAGAGGGTGGCCACTATGCTCTTTGGGCGCACTACAAGCTTAGGTGTACAGTTACGGTGCATAAAACATGTAGATATTTATATATAATGTGTGTATATAGGGTAATAACACTGCAAAAGGTATTGTTGGGGGAGAAAGTTTAGTGCGTGTGACCTTGAAAGAGTGAGGGAGCCGCCAGCAGCCATCTGTGTATAGCGACGACTTAGTGCCTGAACTAACTATATCAGCTTAGCTGTACAGTTGTGGTGAACAAAATATATACATACTTATATATAACGTCTGTATATAGTGTAATAACACCACAAATGGTATTGTTGGGGGAGAAAGTTTAGTGCGTGTATTGAGGGAGTGGCAGCGAGTGGCTGGCTGGTGTGTGGCTGTAACTCCTCGTTGCTTTTCGACTCTCAATACCAACTTAGTGGTTCGTTATGGTGACCAAAACATGCCAATACTTATATATAACCTGTGTATAGAGTGTAATAGCAGCAAAACTACTTGTTTATTGTTATATAAACATAATTGAATCACTAATATGCACATCATACTTTTGAGTATAGCGATTATTAACCACTTTTATTATATAAATATATTACAATACACACTACTGAATAATATTACTGCAAAAAAACTAAGAAAAAAATCAATCGGAGACATTGAAACAATTAGATAATAATATCTTTGTGGCAACTCCCATCTGTCAACGCGGGTGACGCTGACCGGGTCTGACGACCGCTCTGTCAACGCCCACTTTTTGCCAGACTTCCTCGGTCAATTGCCCCCAAAATATGTCGCCTACAATTTTTTTTTTTTTTTCCGTGCTCAGGGGACACAAATTAACATGTTTAGAAGACGAAAAAAATTTTTTTTTTTTTTTTTCTTGCGCACAGGGGTGTAAATGTCCCAAGGACCCCTGAGCAGTGTAAGGGTTAAAGAACAATTTGCAATATTTAATATTTTTGCAGCCTATCTGAAAATCTGAAATTTTCAATATTAAATTATATAATTTTTAATTTTCTTGTTTTTCAAGTTTTGTCGAGTTGATCATTGACAAAATTTGGAGTGTTTGCTTAGTAGATTACGCACAACAAATTTGAAAGCGTCAGAACACGTTTGAAAAATTTAACTTATGGTACCATCAGGTCATGGTGTATATATACATGGTGTATTATATGTATATATACACCATGCGCAGTTTAAGAGTTATGTATACCTTCCTGACTAGTTCTAACATGCCCTTTAAATCAGGAAACCTTGCTTAACACTATCGCTCGCTTTAGACACCGATCACGTCCATTTTTTTTTCTCTAGTCCTAACCGTGGACAGGACTTGTCCACTACAAAAATTTGTATAAAATTCATTTTTTATCCGATCGACCTTGGGATAGTTTAAAAATAAGCGCCTTTAGAATGCGCACAATGATACCAAAATGAAAGATGTAACACGAAACTTTATGTCGGAACACTTTAAAGATTATAAATACGTTTTTGGGTCTAAATTATAAATTTTAAAATGTTAAAATTCTATTGTGCTATTATTATGGGACTAGTTTTAAAATGCGCGCCTTAATATTGTGAACAATTTGATACCAAAGCAAGCGATGTAACATGAAAATTGATGTTATCAAACTGAACGAGTATACACATTAGTTTGTGTGCAAATTGGTGCTCTTTCACGGGTAACTTTAGGCTTTGCTGCGGGGAGTCTTGCCAGGCTTTCGGATATTTTATGCACATATATCTGCAGAGAATTTAATTGCAAACACAATGATACCAAAACAAACGACATAGCATGAGAATTAAGGCGAGAACACTGAAACGAGTACACACATTTTACTGATTTTGTGCGCTCACGGGTAACTTTTCCGAATTTAGGCTTTGCTGCGGGGAGTCTTGCCAGGCTTTTGGACATTATATGCATCTACATCGACAGGGAATTTTATTGCGACCACATTGATACCAAATCGAACGACGTAGCACAAGAATTAAGGCGAGAAAACTGAAACGAGTACACACATTTAGGAGTCGTCGCACGCTTGCCCGCACCATTGGTCCCATAACGTCAAAGTCTACAGTGCATGCGTGGCGCGGGCGATAGTGTTAACATGTTACATTAGCAATTTAGGTAATATTACATTTAACAATTTTAAACATTATTCTATTTAATTAAAACATTGGCACCTCTGACTCGCGAGCGAGGAGGGTGGCACCCAACCATTACACACACAGCACCTGCAGCAGGATGCCCCCCACAAGCTCCGCTCTGCTTTATTTGAGTGCTTATATTTCAGGTGTTAACCACTACAGTTGTTTCAGCATCTCAAACTTAGCTCACTAGAAATTGTCTATTAAGTGTTAAAAGCACTCTTCACATAAGATAACAGTACTGTACTATACTGTAAATGGTAGCAAGTGCCTGAATGCCACATACAGCCACCTACAACCCCCCAATATACTGTGCTCAGACATCCACCAGAGGATATAGTCTACAAAATTTTACTTTAGCACCCAGGCACCTGTCAAGTATGGCAATTAAAGACATTTACATCTACTATATACTATACTCTTGTTATTTACCCGTTTATTCCAGGGCTCTATTACACAAGTTTTTACCCCAAACCAAGTAATAAGAATAAATTTATTGTCCTGAACAACAGACAGTTTGTGATAAATATTGCAATTGATAATTACATTAGGCTAAGCTATTAAAATTTTAGCGATTGTAGATTAGAAGCGTGTGCCGATATGAATCCGATTTCACTGCAGAAATTGTATATTAATTTATTAAATTCTATAAACTGCAGACCTCTCAGCAGGGGGACAAAGCAGCAATTGACCCTACAAGTGATCCTTCAGAGGCAAATTACTTGGGAAATACAGCATCAATACTGCAGTTGTGTGTTCTTTAAACTATTGTATTCAGAGTAATCCAATAACATTCTTAGTTTAAATAATTGTCATTTAATTGGGTATAATTTTACACATTTATGCCTAGATAATTTTTTTTTTTAAATTCGGGGGAAAAAAAAAAGATTGGAGATTTGAAATAATCCACAGGTGCATTAAATGGGTTACAGGTACTACCAGAGCTGGAACAAAATGTGGAGGGGGGGGGTGTTATGATCAGTGATAAACATGTACAAAAAAAATAGTAACGGGAATCTACAAAATTGAAAATTCTCCATTTAACCGAGAACAAGTACATAGGCTCAAACTAAAGAAAAGCTGCTGAAAAAAGCATTAGAAAGCTCACCTTCACAAACACTGGTAGACGGGACAAGTTGTGAGAAGGTGGAGGCAACATCCTTCAGTAGTGTCAGTGTCATGACAATACTGGCAAGATGGGGGGGACAAACATGGCTCTCATCCTTTAAACTAGTGTAATTACACTTGTGTATACTCCTTCATAGTAATTACCCCATTTTATCCACTAGCTATCCTAGTGTATTAGCCAAATTTTTCAAGTTACACACATTTGGGTAAAAAATCTGATCAGTTTGCGAGAACCAAGGAGGGCTGAAGACATGACAACTACTTTACAATAACTGCCAAAAACACACAAATCCCAGAAGGCTATATAGCATCATCTGTTATGTGGAAACTCTTGAATGCTCTGCACTGAGAAATCACATTAACGTGATTTATCTATACTCTTTAATACCATCATTCGGCATGCCAAAACGAGAGTGGATTGACAATGTGTGTGTATAGTCGTATGCGGCAAGGAATTTAGAAAGGACAGGACTCAAAGGAACACTAAAAAGGCAAAAATTTTTAAAATACAGTATCTTTAAAATCACAACAAGAGGCTGAACAATATTGTTCTCTATGTACCTGGATGGGGTTCTAGTTCTCCTCCCCGAGCCTGGCATGACTTGTGTAATGCAAGTAGAATCAGTCTTAGGAACTGGATATTCACACATTTGATACCAATCAATTGCTTTAATTCTGAAATATTTTAAACTATCATGTCGAAGATTCATGCCGCAGGAGCCATTTAACTAGTTTGAAACTAGTACTTTAACAAGTTTACAAATCATTCAAATGCTTTTAAAACCTTTGTAAACAAAAAGCCTTCAGGATAAAAATAGATAAATCCATTTCATTTTTAATTAACAATAGTACAGATTTTAGACTGGTGACCAAATACAATATAAATTAAGGACATTTAATCATTCATAATGACTAGACACCATTACAGTTTACTAATCAAATCAAAGTTAAAAACTCCAATACAAGTCTTCCAATATAATAACATTAGTGAGAAAAAAGGAGATTAGCATCCTTATTTCCATGTACATTACTTTGCCTTGCCTTGGGCTGCCACCGCTTCCATTGCCTTACGAACAGTCTCTTCGTCTCCCAAGAACTTCATGGAAACGACAGGTTTCAGATCCGCATCCAACTCGTACACGAAGGGAATGCCAGTAGGAAGGTTCAGACCCATGATGGCTTCATCAGACATGGCTGTAAATAGTAAGTTTGTTACAACTACCACCCATCTTTTATTACAGATTTTGCACTAATGCATGTGGACATTGATAAGAGTATCTTCTACGTGCAGTATAGAAAAATACATAACAGTTTAATGAAGGCATTAATATACAATGCTCATTACTGTTATAGTTGGGTTTAGTTTCAATATATTTAACATTATTCTATCTTAATAGAAACCATTTGCTACTTAAGTAAAATATTAATATACAATTACCATTTAAGTGAAAACCATGCCGAGCAGCACACCAAAAAACTAAAATTAAGCAATCTTGTCCATTTACAGAAATGGACAAATCAAAACCACCACTGGCAGTGACTATATAGAGCACCTGCTCAAGCCATCTTTACAACAAATTATGATGTGGTTGGGGGACAGGCAGCAAGTACATGCATACATGTTAGGCTCATATCCAGGACACCCCTCAGCTCTAATTACCAATTCCACAAGTTGGCTAAACCTTGGGTACCTATTTACTGCTAGGTGAACAGGTGCTTTAGGCAATAGGAAACCCACCAAACTGTTTCTATCCTGCCCAAGATTCGAACCAGAAATTCCCTAATGTCCAGGATACCTGATCAACCAGACATCAAGCTGCATGCAGCCACATCAAACAGCCTGGTTGACCAGCCAGCCAGCAAAGTAACCAACCAAACATGAGGTCAGAGATCGGGCTGCAGGTATGACGACCTTCCGACTCATCTACAGGATCAAGTAGTATGCAAATTTGCATTTATTACCAACAGTTATACTAATGAACATGACCTGCAAAAATATTTTTATACAACAAAATTTATTTGTGCCATTTCAAAATGTCAATCATGTATAAAAGATCAAACATCTCTTACAGTGCTTTAGTGTTCACCTAGTTCAGAAATCCATAATTGAGAACTACTTCTATACTATAGAAGTTCACCTACTATATACTATGCCTTTATCATTAACAATTACATTTACTGTACTTTCATCATGACCCCGTACATGTATCAATGAAGGTGATGCCATAACACTGCTACACCATTACCAAATCTTCAAACCACACTAGACAACCTGCTCTTAAACTGTTGACAGTACAGGTATTTATATTCACGTCCCAATATCATACATGCCCATCACTCTAAAGTTAAAGTATTTCACACTGCCAAAACTTCATACAAAACCACATTTGTAAGCCATTTTATGCAAATTGGATCTGATCTCTTCTGCAACCACTTGTCTATAAACTCATTTCTTAGTTTTTTTTTTTTTTTTTATTTGGTAAATTCTCCTTTCACACTATTCCATGACTTCATTTAGTCATTCCTGCACCAGCACCAGCTTTCTCAATTTGCTTCTCCATCAATTTACTGCAGTACATTCATTGCTACACTCGCATACAGGCATCTTGTCTTTCACTATTCTTAATCCAAGATGTTCTGTAGTTTCAGTAGCACCTTTGTCACTTTTCCTTGAACTTTCAAAAGTATTATTCAACATCTACTTATAATCTACCGTGTACTGTTCCATTTTCACCCAAGACTCCCATGTACAGTACTGTACATTCATTCACTCCTGCCTTGTCATGCTTTCCAAAATAACCTTAATCTTAATTTTCCTCCTTATGTTCCCTTTCCACATTATTAGTTTCCTTTAATGGATTTAGATAAAAAATGGAGTAGTCATTTATACATAAAGCAAGCAATTTTTTCTCATGCTAAGTCAAATTAAAAAAAAATTCCATTTAGATTCAAATTAAAAAATTTATGCCAATTCAAAAATGCCCCGAACATTTTTAATTTCTCATACGGCCACTGTACATTTGTTTTTTCTTGCTCCAAGACTATCTTCATACCAGTCCTTAATCTCTTACAACCACGGGAGACATCTCCCGTCACACAGGGTACAGTCGCACCACCACAGATCTCCAGTATCAGCTAATGGAGATCAGCTAAACAGTCTCCGTGGTGTAGTGGTAAGACACTCGCCTGGCGTTCCGCGAGCGCTATGTCATGGGTTCGTATCCTGGCCGGGGAGGATTTACTGGGCGCAATTCCTTAACTGTAGCCTCTGTTTAACGCAACAGTAAAATGTGTACTTGGATGAAAAAACGATTCTTCGCGGCAGGGGATCGTATTCCAGGGACAAAAAAATAAAAGTATCATATTACCAGTATAAAAAAAAAATTATACTGGTAATGGCTCAAAAGGGTCACCACTTACGGGCTATTCATGCCCGTGCCGCTTTTTGGGTGGCTTAATCATCTTCAATCTTTGACACATTCGAGAGGTCACGACCTATTCATAGGGTGCAGTCGCACCTCCACAGATCTCCAGAATCGGCTAATGATACTGGAAATTGGTCCAAAGGGCCATCACTTATGGGCTATTCATGCCCATGCCACCTTTTGGGTGGCTTAATCTTCATCATCATCAATCATCCATTTGGTTGGACGGGAGACATCTCCCGTCATGCAGGGTACAGTCGCACCTCCACTGATCTCCAGTATCAGCTAATGATACTGGTAATGGCTCAAAAGGGTCACCACTTACGGGCTATTCATGCCTGTGCCGCCTTTTGGGTGGCTTAATCTTCATCAATCAATCAATCTTTTACAACCTCCATGTCTTGTCATCGTGATTTGTAATCAAGTTTCACTATTTTACTAATCACTAACATGCTATTAGATATACTGTACTATACATTCCTCCTATTGAGAGCTTGCTAAATACTTCACTCAAGCATATGGTTAATTCCCTTTACCCTTTATTAACCTAGATAAATGACCATTGCTTTGCACCTACCACCTGTCAAGACTCTGCACAAACTTGTCAAGAGCAAAATCTACCACCAAGATGCACCTCTCAGCTATTTTACCTGGTGCTCTGAACTTCATTCTAGTACTATTGTAAGTAATTTATCAAAAAGCCACAGTCAGAATGCTATCAAATAACCCATGAATTTTGGAAGCATTTATATTAAAAAATTGCCCAGCAAATAAAAGCTGTTTATACTAATTACACGGCATTGCAACCTGTTGCACTTTCAGTTATGTTATCATACTAGCTTGGCACTAATAATTACCTTACATCTTTACCACTATCCCACTAAAATTGTGTCACTGCTAAATGTAACCAACCAAAATACAGGTACTCACAATCCAGATGTTTGACAATGCCCCTCAGAGAATTTCCATGAGCAGCAATGAGAATCTTCTTTCCTTCCTTCATCTGGGGCACAATAGTGTCGTTCCAATATGGCAAGGTTCTCTCAATTGTCCTGTTAAGGCAAATAAAAGTGATTTGGGTTGGCTTCAGGCTTTGTGCCTAGAGCTGGCATTCAACACACTACCAAGAAAATAAGAAATGAGATGTGCTTTCCAGTGATCACTGGAAGCGAGGTCAAGAGCTTCAGGACCTGCCTACTAACCTTTGTCACTATATAACCGAGTGTTTATACAGCTAGTAAGGCATTTTCATGTTCAGAAATAATTAAAGCAGGTTAATTTAATGATATCTAAACACCTATTCTCAAGTTGCACCCCCCCATCATTATTGCAAACCTCTGGTAATGTACCAACACAACATGGAGCAGGGGAAGAAATTGTTCAAATACTTGGCATTGATAATTTAACAGCAATCATAAATCATACGTTTGGACAAAAAAATTTATTCACTCAGAACAGAACATTGTTTCCCAGAAGTCAACCAAGTTAAGGTTCCACACACGTTAATCACGCTAACCCATGCATTACGCGTTTAATATACGATACACGGTCAATACAACACGACAGTATTGTAGTATCCTTTCACGCTAATGTTTAATAACTACAGGAAACTGAAGTGTATCAGAACTGTAGGAGTGCACACTGTTCTAGGTTAATGTGAAAAATGCAAGGGTAGAAATTTTGAACAAATTTACCAAATTCAGTTTCTATTCAAATTACAGTAGCACTTTTCATTTATTGATTTTACTTCCACGAGTTCTTGCCGACATTCTAATACCTCCTGCAGTCAAAGATGCTGCCGTGAACACTAAGGGAATTATCACTTTCCGACACTGATGATCATGACAATTTACTTCAAACAGTATTTGAAGAGTATCAATTTTTTATAGTTAAAAATTTAGAGCAGACTTAGGAGTGCTAATGTACATTTCCCACTCAAAGTATATTCCAATACTGTACAGTATTTGTATATTTACACATTATTTACTATACTTTCTCCCAGCATCAATTTCCCTAAAATTGTGTCCACTAGTTTATGGCCTTCACTCCTGCCATTAATGATCAACGATTACATTCATTCCTCAATATCTTGCCACCACATTAAATTCATTTCTAGATTCCATTCTATTTTTGTTTAAGCTACAAGAGTAGTGTGTAGGGGCAAGGGAAGGCACTACTATAGTCTCTTTGGCATTTCTTATTCTAACTAGCTGTCCTTGCACCCATCTACTTTCCCTTATCAATCCACTATTGCCACGAAGGTTTTGTCAATCACATCAAGTACAGTATTTACACTGAACTATCCACAACAATTATTTTCTCAGGTCACCTCACCTCTCCTCCCATCAGTAATGCTTTAATCCAATTATTTGTTCTAATACTATCTTCCACAGACATTGCTCAAAACATATATGTTCACCCAACTAGGAGGACAACAGTACCCTAGCATACATCTACATTAATATGAAACTAGTAATGCATTACAATTAACTTTTGCATGTATTGCTCCATATATAGAAACCACTCCGAGCATTTCATTATGCTACACAAGCTCGTTGCTCTAAGGTTGTGGCGACGTCAACGCCATCTGTCTAGCACACCTGACCCCCCATTTTCTGTTCCCCGGTGGAAGGCTGTGATCTTACCGACACCTGTAGTGTTTCCTAACCAAATTTTACTCTTAAGAAGTGATGTGCGTGGTATACTGTCGACAGGAATCAGTTCACCAAGGGCAGTCCTAAACTCTAGAAGTGTTCCAGTGGGAACAAGTGGCAGAGTCATTGCACTCTCATTTGTCCGATAGTGACGTAGTATGGTTGATAGGACAGATGTATCCCAGGATGACCGAGTTACAGGATGGAAGTAATGTATGTCTGTTAAGGCTCGTTATAATTGAAGCCTGTGTGGAAGCCTGCCGGCATGCTGCCAGAGAGTAGAAGGGGGGTTTTGGCACCATGATATTGTAGTGGACTGGCCCACGATTTACCGAGAAAGTTGAACTTTCCAGCGTGATACCATAGAAGAGAGACTGGGAAAGAACCTTGAGTGGTGTACAATGGAAGGGGACTTAGAGGAAAAGATGATTGCAAAAATTTTATAGTGTGAGCGAATGTGATGCCCACAGTGTTATCATACATGTGTGTACTGTATACATGGTTAAGAATTACACTGATGGTTCTGTTTAGTGTTGCCTACCCCCTTTTCCTTTAGACTGATTATTACTGCCAGTTCTTAATAACTTGCCTATCACTCGGGAATGGATCGAGCAAGAAGAGGCACCAAGGCTCCATATAAAGTTAGATATTATAGTGGCTTTAGGCATTGTATGTACTAGCTCTATCTATAAGTCCACCAATCTTTGTAAAAAAAATTCTTTTATGTATGTACCTTACCTAAATAAACATTAATTTATTTATTTATTTTATATGAAAAATAACCTGGTTACTGGCCAAGCGAGGCCATAAAGGTTCTCTAATGTATTTCACCCATCCTCAACCACTAGAAATACCAAATTCTTCAACTTTCTATACAAATATTAAATAAACAACCTTTACAAAATAATTTATTTGTATCAACAGTTTTAAACCATCATTTACTTTGTAACTATGAACATCAAGGTCTTAACTACTCATTTACTTCAACCTGTAATCTGCAGACAATTTATCCCTTTAACATTGAACTGCTGATACTTCAATTGACAGTCTTTTCATGGATAAGAAAACCATTGGATAAAATTTAAATAAATTAAAACCCTCTAATTGCCCTAAAAATGATTATAACTTACAATTTAAGGGATTCAAACATAGGAAATTCGTCCTTGCTGGGGCCATCTGCATAGCGAGGATCTTCAACAATCTCTTTGTAGTGTGGATTGCTCTCGTCCATGGGTGGTGGGGGAATGTCGAAGCTGCGTCGCCAGATCTTCACCTGCATTAAGAACATTATAAACCACCAAATGCTTGACATTGGCTTCAGTACACTATGTTTAAGTTTAACAAAACTACAAGTATTATATTACAGCATTAACAGTAAAAAATAATCAATAGGCATTTACTTATCTTGGTATACAATACTTCAATTGCTTAATTATAAATTGTACTGCTAGCATGTACAATAATTTTCTTTGTGAAGGCAAGAAGGAATTCAGGAAAAAGTGCCAAGCCATTATGACTATATAGCACTGGGAAGGGGTCAGATAAGGATTTGGGATGGGTTGGGAGGGGAGGGAAATGACTGGTGCCCAACCACTTTGACGTCGGGGATTGAACACCGATCTGCATGGAGCGAGAGTCGCTCTACCATCCACCTCAACTATATGTTTAACAGATCTCTCGCCCTGTCCATGGAGGACAGAAGAAAATGTATATATGCTGGTTAGCATTGCAAATGTGTGGCCACGTCTGGTAGAAAAAAAAAATCAAAGTGGTTGGGATTTTCTTTGTGAAAACCTTCAAATTGTATGAAAGTTGGCAACATTCAGTTTGGCCAAGGAGTCTGAGAAGATTTGAGGAACACTATTTAACCACAATAAAAGCTTTCCATACTATTGGGGGAACACTGTACTTAACCACAATAAAAGCTTTCCATACTATTAAAAAAAATAAAACCTAAGGAATGAACAGTTTATACTTTCAATATGAAATTTAATTATGCCTAATTTTAAAACTATCCAAATTTCTAAATTCTTGGAATTATGTATTCAGCACAAGGTGGCAATTCATCACGGCAATCTGAATAATTATGTAACGTGTGTATAAAGCTGCAGAAGAACTCTTATGCCAAGTCTTTGGATTCCTACACCACTAATATTTTTATTTTAATCTGAACACTAACCAGGCCAGGAATACCATCAGTAAAAGGTTAAATTTTCTTACTTTATTAGATCATTAATTTTAACTACTGGTATGATTAAAGTATTAGCAGTCAAGTTACACACAGAATACAGTTACTATAATCAACTTCCACACTTGTGCCAAGCACTTTTTTATTATTATCATTATTATTTTCTACCACAGACGTGGCTAGACATTTACAATGCTAACCAGCATATATACATTTTCTTCTATCCTCCATGGACAGGGTTAGAGATGTGTTAAACATACAGTTCAAGGGTTTATTGAACAATCAACCACAGAAGGTGATTCGGTGCTTTTAAAATGCTAAGCTAACCTACATACGTAAATACATAGATACAGATTTACGTATGCCCTACATAAAGTGTTTGATGCGTCTTGCATAGTGTCATTAATGTACATTCACAAAAGTGAAATGTAATTCTGATCAGCTTGCATATATACTTTATACCCATACATATACATACACACACACACATATATATATACACACACATGCATTCACATACATCTGTCTCATTTACTCTGACAGGGTGAGATAGCTGATAAAGAAACTAGTGTGCAATTAAGCACTTAATCACTGAAGGTGATGAAGGTGCTTTTACAAGCTCAGGTTCACGGGAGACATCTCCCGTCACGCAGGGTGCAGTCGCACCTCCACAGATCTCCAGTATCATCTATCGATACTGATGATGACTCAAAAGGGCCACCACTTACAAGCTATTCATGCCCGTGCCACCTTTTGGGTGGCTTAATCTTCATCAATCAATCAATCAGCTCAGGTTATATAGTTACATCATATATATACATTGTATAAATGATATATTACATGGTCAATCTTTGATACAAGTCCAATATATCATCAAGTGTTCCAGTACTCGTATAGTAATTACAGAGTTCAGCATACCTTAGCCCAGGAGGGCGAAAGTCAGTCGGTATGGGACATTCTACAATATAATGTTCAAGAGTGCATGTTTTCTCTTTCAAAGTTGACACATTGTGTACTTGACATTTGGGTTTTGAGAAAGCTGCCAGATACGTCTATATCCCAGGCGTATTCTGGCCACTATAACACCACATTGCCGGGTTCTTGTTCTATTAGTCCCATATGTGAATGCCTCCTCACGATATCTATCATAATATTTAATGCTACAACTTTCAGGTCTTTGTGAATTTGTTAGGTCGGTGAGATTTTCATTAGATATTTGTTTAAGTATTCTCTTTGTTACTGCTAATGAAACACCTATATCAACTTCTACCACTGGTTTTCTGCAGGCTGTCTTAGCAAGCATATCAACAGTGTCATGCCTTTTTACACTGACAGTCACCAGACTTCAGACCAGACATCAAAATTGCATAGCAAGCTATCGAGACAGTGCCAGTAGATTGTTAATCAACAGGAACTAAAGTCTATGGTAAAATGGTACTGCATCACAAAATATACAATTAATGTAATACTTAGGAAAAACCAAATAGGATACCGATATCCTGTGTAGGTAGAACAGGGACTAAGAACATTGATTGGTTAATAGATGTGCAAGTCTTAGGATAGAGCAGTTATTCAACCAGTCCTACAAAGAAAGTCTCATTTCAACCGTATGCATTACATAACGCCAAAAAAATGTCATACTAGAAATGGGAGAGGCTTGCAAAAGTGACGTACTGTCCCGTTTCCCATTTAGGGTCCTCTGGTAGGTTAGGAGAGGACACTTTAAATTGACTTTTCTTTACGTTGGGAAACCTTAGGAGGACGGGCTGGGTTATCATGGGGGGAGGGAAGGGAATGTCCTAAACCAGGTTAGTGTAGATACATTATCCTTTTTTAATAGCAAAGTATTCCAGTACCTCAGTTATTAATAAAATTATAAACTACAGTAAGGCTGGAAATTTAATTATGGAGGTTTGTGAGAGGCAGTTGGGCAACTTTCACAACACTTTCACTGTCCACAATCACACTCTGTGCTAGTCTTAAATTTCAAAGATTTTGACACCAAAATATCTGGGGGCAGAATTAGAAGAATTACTATATTTTACAAGAATGCCCATTAAGAATTTAACAGTACAAAGACTTTAAAAACCTACCTCAAGTTTAATACCATCTAATACAGCAGTATTAAACTTCTCTCAAGGATCCAGTTTTTAACTTAATTCTACTGTACCTGCTCTTCTCCATGCTTCTGAGCAGTTTCAGCCTTGTTCAGGCCAGTAAGACCACCATAATGACGCTCGTTGAGTCGCCAGGTCTTGAAAATTGGGATGTCTGTCTGGCCAATCTCCTTCAGGATGGCATCCAGGGTTTTCTGGGCACGCGTCAGTACAGATGTATGGGCAAGATCGAACTGGAATTTTGCATCCTTCAATGCCTTTCCTGCAGCATGAGCCTCTTCCACACCTGTGTATAATTACTCCTCTATAGTGATTGCCAGCATGAAAAACATAATTGTACAAGTAATTTTTCATTAAAACATTCAGAAACCATCACTAACATCATGATCAATATGAAGCAATGACATTTCCATTATTAGTCAATCCAAAATAGTTTTTTTTCATCAACACTAAATTTTGAATGGGCCAAAAATACTAGAGCCAGAACATACATCAAAATAAGAATCCATTATCTACAAATAATAGGTTACAGTCAAGTCTCACTAATGTGGTTGAAAATTACACTACCACTCATTTTCCATTACACGACTAATGGTCCAGGATCGACCAAAACAGTGCCTTTACTTTCAGATTTGTAGGTTTGGTGCAATAAGTTGTAGAATGGTTTTACCAAAGCAAAGTATAAAGGGAGTCAAGTCAGAGTGGGAAAATGTAAGGAGTGCCTCAAGGCTGTCCCGGGATTTATTCATAATACACAAATTATTTAGATTCAGATTCGGGTTTGATCGGCAATATTTGCAAATTTGCCAACAATACAAAAATCGGGAAGGAAATAAAGGTAAAAGACTATCACATCAAGACTATCTAAATAGGGCTTTGAAATGGTCGAAAGATTGGCAGATGCCGTTTAATGCTGACAAATTTAAGGTTTTGAGGCTAGGTAATGATAGAGTTGCAAGATACCAGCTAGATGGTGTTGAGATTGCGAAGCTGGATTGCAAAAAGAATCTGGGAGTTATGCTTAGTAAGAATTTAAAACCCAAAAACCAATGCATAAATGTTCGTAATAAGGCAAATAGGACACTCATTTATCGAAGCGTTAGTAATAAGACACCTGGTAGTGTTCAGCTTGGTAGTGGTAGGTGGGTAGTGAGGGGAGGGATCAGACGTGTCGTCGCGCTCTGCGATTTTTTTTTTTTCCTTTAGGATTACAACCATGGATTATGTACCACAGTGATCACGAAGTGCATAGTGACCCATAGGAAAGTCGAATACCAGGTGCATGGATACATGCATATAGGCAATATATCACAGTGAGCAGTGATGCGTTGAACAGTGAAGTGAAACGTGTAACACAGGAATAGGTGGAAAGCGTGTGAGAATTGCACAGAAAAAGTAGAAATAAATTGTGAGGAGGAAACATCTCCAAACATATGGGCGGTGTTTACACCACAGCCACGAGGCCTACAGTGTATGGGACGTCCCTCAATATTATACTGGCATTATATATTGTATTACGGGAATGTGGATTTGGGAATTAGTAATAGAGTAAGTGAATACCATTGCTAGCCGGAAAGTAAGCAGAAAATCTTTAGGATAATACAGGCAAATAATTCAGTGTTATAAATCGAGGAACTGGCAACCGGTGCCATCCATCCAGCCCGCGACCTGGGACAACGGTCCAGCTGTACAGTCCTTACTGGCACCATTTTCACCACCAGGCGATAAGTACCCCCCCCCCCAAAAGTTGAACAAACAAATATACTGTATACATATTATATATCATACATATAATACTATAAAATATATTCAGTAATTTTACTATTTATAATATTATAAAGTCAAGAAGGGATAAATCTACAATAAATCACAAATAGGGGAACAGAACCTCTACACCACAATCCCAACATGGAAACATGTGGAGGCCGCTTTAAGCCACTTCGGAAGTGCGTTGTAGGGATTGTATGCAACATACGATTTCACAGAGTTTTACAGGATTACCTACACAATATGCAAACAGAAGCTAACTACTGGATCTGTCACAATGATAGATGTGGGAAAACATTACCAAACTAATGAACAACATTCCTGAAGTACATGGGCTACAGTTCACACAAAAGCTACCAGAAATATATGCAGAGTATATAAAGACAACACTGAACACAACCAAGGGACAGTTTAGAGAGCCAAATTAGCAATGTAAGACATTGTGTCGAGGTACACGAAAATGAAGGCAATATTGAAGAGCAAACTAGTAATAGAAGTAAGGAGAAAAACAATGAGAAGGACGAGAACACAAATGAGAAAGACGAAAGCAAAGAAAGACAAGGGCAATACCAAGAAAATGCCAAAACGAGAAAGTTGGAACAAAAACACAGGTAGCCAAGTCATGCACGGGTACAAACAATAAGAATACAAGCACATGAAAATATTTGCAGATATTATGGAAAAGGACAGTGCAGATATGGAACCAGAGGCACGGAATGCACATTCGTGCACCCATGGAAATGCCGAAACATGTTGGGGAAAGGCAGACTTTTTGGAACGGATTGTAGATATTTCCACCCAAAGTTATGCAAACTCTCAATGAATGATAAATACTATGATCTCCATTGCCCCGATTTCTACGCGAGAGGTACACAGCGCTATGAGAGAGGAGGTCCAATATAATAGCCCAGGAAATTTTTTTTAGAGGCAAGCAGACCCAGAGGGAGGAACACAGGCAGAAACGTTGCAGGAGTACGGATGGGGAGGGGGAAATGCCTAAGACTGCACTACGTTGTCGTCATCAAGCCCACACACACACTACCCCCCCCCCCCCCCCCAACTACACAAACCACCACACTCCACAGTACCAACTCCAAAACTGAACAAACCATTGCCAGACCAGCACACCCTGGGTCAGGGTAGAGAGAACTACCAAAGCCCTCCAGAAGTGACAATAGGGACAACCATTCATAATTTGTAAACATACAAGGTCTAAAGTTAAAGTCAAGAAATAAGGTTAAGTTCATAAATGGCCTATTACAGTCAAACTCAATATTTAGGGCATTCACAGAAACTCATGAAAGATTACATGGATAGTGAAATCTGGATTCCAAATTATAATCTATATAGATGTGATAGAGAAAATAGGTCAAATGGAGGAGTAGGTCTGTATACTGTATTAAAGAGGACCTGGTATGCACAGTGTTAAACTCAACTAATGAGGTGGTAGAGGTACAGTAGAACCTTGAGTGACTACCGCCTCAAATGGTGACCAATTTGGTTAACGAGCGCCCCGATCGGCAACAATTCATCTCGCTAGGCGACCACTCGTTTGAACGTCAACACCACATGGTGAAGTCGCGCTGCCTCCGACGACAGTGCTGTTGTGTCGCGCACAACCAGTATCCCTCTGCATCGTTCCGCATATAATTGTGATAATCGTGGGTTGTGTGTGGTTTGTGACTACACTTAACGCACAATGTTTGCAAAGCAGCAGCTTGGTAAAGAGTGTTGGCAAGGGGAAGAAAGAGCGAATCACTGGATGTGAAGAAGTAAATCATAGCAAAGCATGAGCATTGTGTTCGTGTGGCTGATCGCCAGGGAGTATGGCAGGTCTTCCTCAACAATTGGCACCATTTTGAAGAGGAAGGAACAATTTAAGATGCTTGACACAGGAGTTACCCTTGTTCACCTTAGGATAAGGGGCAGTTTTGCACTGGTGGGGCGCAGGGTACTGCGCAAGCTTGTTTTCACCTATATGGCAGCCGGCTCTGCTTTGCCTGGGTACGCTGTCCTCTTGCGGGGTTTTCTTATTATAGTTTATCTGCCTGGTGGGGGAAGGGGTCTACCTTCATTTCTTGCCCTACCCCCCCCCCCATGTCCCGAGTATTTTTCTGGTGGTTTCCCCTGCTAGGTCCCCGTGAGTGTACACGTCCCAGGGGTTCAGTTCTTAGAAAGTCGTTTGGTAGCTTTGGGCGCCAGTTAGCAGTACCCAGCCTGGAATTACCCGAGTGCGAGTCCTATTATAGTAAATGCTCGGGACCCTGGGAAACACCTGGGGGCGCGCGGGTCCGATGGATGTGACCCCGGAGTACCCCCTCGCTTCCAGCAAGTTTGAGGGTTGCTCTCACCTCTCGTCTCAGGGTGCCTCCGTCTGCTGCCTGTGGGGTCGGTGACACCTTCGACCCGGAGTCCTGCGAGTTTTGTTGCTCGTGGCTCTGTTACCCAGTTGTATGCTGACTGAGGGTGGAGGGTGCAGGCAGCAGGGGCACTGCACGTTGAGCTTTGGTGGCAACGCTCTCATTTGTTTGCTCCCCGGGAGCCCCGGGGCTGCCCTGTTTTGGGACTGGGGGGGGGGGGGGTGTTGGTTGCTTCGGCCCCTTGTCTTTCCCCTAGATCCCCCCTTCCTCCCTCCATCCGGTTCCTTACCGTCTGCTGGTTCGGGGTCGGGGTGGGGTTCGATGGTTTTGAGAGACTGGTGGTCTCGGGGAATTCCCCTTCCGGGGTAGTGACGGGGTCATTCGAGCCCGTTTCTCCAGCTGTGTTGTAAGAGTCTGCCAGTGGGCTCGCTCCCTTAGTATTTTCGCAGCTGCCCCGGTTTTTCTGGTGCGGCTGGGGCTTTGGGGGGATGGCTCGGCCCCGGGGCCTGTCGTGTGGGTTCCCGAGGCTGAGGAGGGGCCGACTTGGGGGGCCTAACACTCCGTAGGACCCTGCGGTTTTTCTTCCTACCCTGTACGTGGGGCTTGCAGTTACGCGGAGTGGGGTTCCCCCCCCCCCTCGCCGTACGAGTTGTTGGGCATTGGCCCCTCCCCGGGCTCGGTTCCTTGTCCTTTGAGTCTGTTGGTTCCGTCCTGTAGGTGGATGCTCTTCTCTGTTCCCCGCTTTTTCTTGGTATGGGGTATCTCCGCGTTTCCCCGTTATTGGGGTTCTATGACTTTTGGTTTCGGGTGCGACTGTGCCTTTGGGACTTGTTTGCTTCTGTGTTCGAGGGTTCGGGTAGGTTTTCGCTACTTCCCGCATTATTGGAACGTCTCTCGGCTCCTGGTCCGGGTCGCCGAATTGGGCTACTCGTAGCCCGGTTGGGTTCCCGATGGGGCTCTGCCTTCGCATCGTTGGCCGTTTATGTTGCTGCTTACTCTTTTGGCTCCTGTCCCCCCCCTTTTTTTTTTTTTTTTTTTTTTTTTTTAAGCAGTTACTTAAGGTTGCATTCTGTTTGGCTACTTTTCTTGTGCAGTAGTCCTGGTTGGCGCCTTTCCACAGAGCAGGTTGTGGGGTTTGACCAGCGTGTCTTGCGCATGC